TTTGTCTTTTCATATTTTTCTTTTGTTATTTTTTCAGTTTCAACCGGTTTAATTGGTTTAGAACTTTAAGTAACCTCTTATTTTTAGTAACCATATTTTCAACTGGTTTTTAGTAAAGTCCTAAACCAATTAAACCGATTGAAATCGAAAAATATAATAAAATAAAAATATGAAGAGACAAAAATACCCTTACTAAAAATAGGAAAAGTCATGAGAAGGACTAAAAGTGTCCAAAAAATAATAGTTTGGGATGTTAAATGGCAAAAATGACAGTCTGGGACTAAATTTGGAATTACCACCAAAGATAAGTGACCTCTGGTGGAATTAACTCTTTTTGTAATTATCACCAATTTTACTGTGCAACTTTTAACACAATATGTATTATTGGAATGCACATCTAGTTGTTACAAAGTGCGCTTTTGCAAAATGCCATCGCATTTTTTTTTTCTTCTAGAAATGCACATTTAGTTATTACAAAGTGCACTTTTAGTATTAAAAATTGCACTTTGCAAAATGCGAAAGTGTATTGCACTTAGGGTTTGAATTTTAGAGTTTATGTATGAGTTTTTTTGGTTTAGGGATTAATTTTTTAGTGCTTAGGGTTTAACATTTATGATTTAAGATTAAAATTTAGTTTTTACATTGACTTTTTAAAAGTTATCCAGAAATGCATATTTAGTTTTTATAAAGTGCAGAGTATTGTGTTACAAGTTGCAATGTAAAGTTGGTGATAATTATAAAAATGTCATTTTTTTTTAAATTTGTTCTGATCCGTTCGATTTTTACATATGTAAGGATGTGATTGATTTTTAGTTTTCTCTTATAGATGTAATGATGGGATCCGTCCTATAGGAACAAGTGTATATTAGATTTTGATGATACCAAAAGTTAAAAAATTTTAGTCCCAATTTGTTCCACTCTTTTAGATTTAGGAAATTCACTCTGATCGAATTGCTCAGAAGAGTCCGAATTGTAATAAGAGAAGTTACAATTAGAAAAGTCAACTAAACTCTCTACGAGAAGTTCAAGCAGACGATCGAGGAGATACGAAGAATGGATGCAATGAAGAGTTCAAGACAAAGAGTCGAAAGAGTTCAAGAGTCGAAGAGTGGAAGAGTTGAAGACTGGAAAGTAGCAATGACCGAAGAGCGGAATGGCCAACCTTACTGAATAGTAGGGACTTGAAGTGTATCGAATAGTAAGGACAACTATTCGAACGAAAGGTTATAAAGCTTAAGGTTCGAAGTGTTAACTCGAAAGGTAATAGCTAACCATTCGGATGAACTGTTCGAGACATTTTCTGGGCAAACAGTTCGTAACCTTAAAAAGTTAAGAGCTATATGTGAAAATGTTACCAAGGCAAAAGGAGTCCTAGGTACACACTCCAAGAGATTTTCTTTAAAACCCTAGACAAAAAGGAGTAGTGCAAAATGTATGGTGTAGCAGATAAATGTGTGTCAACGACTAGAAATATGACATAAAGTAACATTTCGTATTATCCACTGGTCATTATCCAAGAGTTAAAAGGACGTTTGGAATCCATCTCCCTCGGATTCATTTCAAATAGCCTATAAATACCTTCAATCATGACTGAAGAAGGTGCTGGTCATTCAAGTGAAAAATTATTAAGAGTTCAAAGCTTTCAAGTGCTAAGAAATTGTGACCAGTGAGAAAAGAGAAAAGAGTTACAATTCAAGATCTAGCTCAGACTTTGACCAATTTGAAGTGAAGATTCAAGCACAGAGTCTACATCAAAGTTGGAGGATTAACATTCTTTTGTGTTTGACAACTTTTGTATCTCTACTCGTGAAGTAGAAAGAGGTGGACTAACAAGTTCAGACTTGTGAAAACCTAAAAGTTGACATTGCACGTTGTTTATAATTTTCTTTTATATCACTCATACTCATTAAAAAAAGAGTGAATTTCATTTTTGGTCCTACTGTTATAGGGGCGTTTCCAATTTTAGTCCACCTTAATTTTTTTTGCCACTTTACAACCACTGTTATTGAATGTGTTTCACTTTTAGTCCATCGTTAATATTTCCGTCAAGAGGCCGTATAATCCAAGGGTATTTTGGTCTTTTTATGGTTGTCTCTTCTCTTTTAATCCAGGCGCTTCGTCCTCCTCCTCCGATATTCAAAGATGGCTCTTCGAACAACGAGAATGGGAAGCCAAAGCTACATCGTTTCGTTCGTTCCAACATGGGCCGGCGAGGTTTCTTAGGTTTTAGGTTTAATATAATGTTCTCATTTCTTTTAGTCAAACATAGTCTTGGATGAGAAGAAAGATCAAAACACCCCTAGATTACTCGGCCTCTTGATGGAAATACTAACAGTGGACTAAAAGTGGAACACATTCAATAATAGTGGTCATAAAGTGGCAAAAAAAATTAATGTGAACTAAAATTGAAAACACCCATATAACAGTAGGACCAAAAATGGAATTCACTCTTAAAAAAAATGAAATCATGGGAAGATGGCAACAATGACGATGACAACGTTTTCTTTGCAGAGCTTACTAGGCAAGTATTATAATTGACAAAAGAGGATGGAACACATTCAATAATAGTGGTCATAAAGTGGCAAAAAAAATGTGAACTAAAATTGAAAACACCCATATAACAGTAGGACCAAAAATGGAATTCACTCTTAAAAAAAAAATGAAATCATGGGAAGATGGCAACAATGACGATGACAACGTTTTCTTTGCAGAGCTCAACGTTTTCTTTGCAGAGCTTACTAGGCAAGTATGATAATTGACAAAAGAGGATTACTGTATCTTTTCATATACTTTCTCAACATACTAAAAACACAAAGAACCAATGACACCTCCACTGAGGCTCGAACTTATAATCTTCCAAATGAAAGTCCAACCCAGGTACCATTAGACCACATAGTCTTGGTGATAACAAGAGGATATTACTCATATTTAGGCATAAAGATAAATTAGTTGGTCTAAATAACCAAGTTATTGAAAAAATAAGGAGAGAGTCCGACTTTTCATCCCATTCTACACATACTCATTCTAAAAGGTGGCATTGATGAAACTATTTAAATTTCACCACGCCGGCCTGCCAATAGATTGGATGATTGATTAGTTAACCTTTGCCTCTTTTGTGCGTGCTCCTCGCCTACGGTTCTTCCTCCCTACATGCAAAAATATATTCAACTTTATATTATTAGCAATAGGTTAATAAAAGTTTATTGCCAATCATATCAAAAGTAAATTTTTTTTTAGTACTACTGACTCTGTTACAATGCAGTATTTGTTTATACTGCCAGACTTGAACCCACAACCTCTCAGAATTACTTGGTGCCACTAGACAACAACGTCTTTGGCATATCAAAAGTATATTAAATTAAAGCACATACCAGGGTTATGTGGCACAAACGCCCCAGTACCAATGAACACCCAATCTCTATATTCTGATATCCAAGAGAATAGAAGACACTGAGGGTGCAACACTAATTGTGGTTTATTTTCTTTTTTAGAGCCTTTCCCTTTGTTAGTACTACGCTTTGGTATGAACACCCCAGTTCCATTACACTCACCATTATCGCTTTTCTCTCTATTCCACAGCTCTACAAGGTATTTGGGCACTTTGTTGTTGGTATCCTCGTTATGTATCCATTCAAAGCCACATTAGGGTTGCAATATCGATGGCCTATATCTAATACCTTGTTTTGAGTTGATGATTCTCTTGTTATCATCCTCTTCTGTCAATTCTAATACTTGCCTAGTAATACTTGCCTAGTAAGTTCAGCAAAGAAAACGTTGTCATCGTCGTTGTTGCCATCTTCCCACAATCTCATTTTTCTTTTTTTTTTTTTCTTTTTTTTTTTTTTTGAAAATGAAGTATGAGTGATATAAAAGAAATTATAAATAATGTGTCAACTTCTAGTTGAAATCTACACTCTTGATGCAATTTCAATTCAAAATATTATCTATAGAAAAGTACACATACAATAAAGAATATTTATATGTAATATGATTGAAAATAAAAACCTAACAATTAAGACCAATATCCCACGCAACTCATATGAATAAAAATAAGTTCTAAGATATATATGATATAAAGTCTTGGATCCTTGCATGCATTGATCAATAGCAAGGCTTGGAGCATGTTTATATACTCACAATAGCATGAAGGGATCGGACAAGTTGACTAAAAGATTCTATGTTTGTGGTAAAGAGTATATTGTTTTGGTCTTTTGCGTAAAGTGTTGAAGTGGTACAACATCCAAACAAGATTATATCACGTATGACATATATTGTGATATTGGGGAAGGTTGCTTACATTATGTTAAGACTACATGCATTGGTTGACAATTTTTAATTTATCTTTTCTATTTTCTACTTGTATTTTTGTAGTTTAGGATTGTTGTAACTTCTTGCTACTTCTCCTCTTCGGAATTTTATACTCTGTTCATTTCATTCATCAATACATGATTTTATACCATCTCTACATGATATCAAGAGTCTAAATCTCCAATGAAAGTTTTTTTTTTTTCTCTCTCCTTTCTTCCTTTATCAATGGCTACCATCACTCCTGCAATACCTACTACTTCGTTGCCCAATACGGCCATCACTGAAGTCATCCAACTAAATGCCCTTGCACACTTTCCCATCAAACTCACTTCTACAAACTTTCTTGTTTTGAGACGTCAAGTACAATCCACTCTTATTGGCTATGATCTCATTCGCTAGATTGATGGCTCCATTGAAGAACGTAACCAGCCAAGTTCACAGGCACTGCTCAAACAAACAGGAACCCATGCCATTTAATTTGGTATCGCCAAGACCAAATTATTATAAGTGCGCTCGGGAATTGTTCTGATACGATACAACCCCTTATTTCTTTGGCTGCAACGGCCCACTATGCATGGCAACAACTTGTTGCTAGTTATGCTAGTGCCTCTCGAGGTCGAATTATTTTCCTCAAGGCAAAGCTAACAAACAAATCGAGAGGTGCTCGGTTTATTACCGAATATCTCAATGATATGAGGTCCATAGCTGATAATCTTGCATTGGCTCAAAGTCCGGTTTCTAATGAAGACCTAGTTCTTTATATACTAACTCAACTAGGGGAGGAACACAATTCCATTATCTCTGATGTTCGCATCCGTGAAAATCCCGTCTCTTTGGGGGAGTTAAGTGATGTTCTAACTGACCATGAACGACAGTTAAAAGAAGCTGATAGTGCACGCCAATCCCTACTTGCCACTGCTAACGTTGCACAACAGACATTCTCTTCCTCACAAAACAATCAATCATCCAATTCTACTCAGAGGTTTCGTAATAACAACAGCTTCAACCGGCAAAGTTGGCAACAAAGAGGGAATAATCGGTCTAGTGTTATATGCAAAATTTGTAACTTTCTAGGCCATGAAACAGAAGTATGCCGTAAGTTAGCCAAATTTTTAAAGGAGCATAATATTCTACCCATGCAGGCATCTACGTCTCTTCAATCTCCTACAACCAATTCCACAGTTGGTTCATCCCAATCATGGCTATTTGACAGCAATGCTTCCCACCATGCTACTCTGAGTATCACTCATCTTCAAACCATCTCTGAATACAATAGTCCAGATCGCTTGGGTGATGGTAATTCCTTAATAATCTCTCATGTTGGTCGGTCTACTATTCCCACCTCCTTCTATGCTCTTACTCTTGAAAATGTTTTGCATATTTTAAAGTTGCATAATAATTTAGTTTCCATATCCCAACTCTGCAAAACTAATCCAATTTCTATTGAATTTTTTTCTTCCCATTTTATTGTGAAGGATCTATGAACGGGGACATTGCTAATGTAGGGGAGAATGTTAATGTTGTTTACTATGATCCTCTTTCTTGTTAGCCAAAAATAAATGTTGTGCACTTGTCGCGTATGTCTCAATGACATCATTAGCTTGGTTATCCGTCAAATAAAACATTACATCTTGTTTTAAAGCATTGTAATGTTCCTATTACCGTGTCATTGTTACATCAGTTTCATTGTCCATCTTGTAGCATACACAAAAGTCACAAATTGCCATTTTCAAAAAATACTCGTGTTAGTACCAGGGTTATAAAAATCGGTCTAGGCGGCCGCCTAGGCGCTAGGCGCCTCTAGACCGTGGCGATTTCCCCCCTAGGCGCCCGCCTAGGTTACCGGCCGCCTAGCGCCTAACTCGGCCGATTTGGCCGCCTAGCGTCTAAGTTAGTCGAGTTAACTCGTCCATTTCGGTCGAGTTAACCCGATCGGCTCAGCCTATTTTTTTTATTATATATATATGTGTGTGTGTGTGTGCGCGCGCGCGCGAGCATACATATATATAATATGACATATATACACTTGTAGACTAGTTTGATACTTTGAATCTTTGGATGACTGAAGTATTTGAGTATTTTTAATTTTTAATATTGTTTTAATGTTTTTTTTTTTTTTTGAAAACCATTGTTTTGATGTTATGACTTATGAATTATCATTAATTCATTTATTTGGATGTGTTATTTGATTAAATGTTGAAAACAATCTCATTAAAATTGTCAAACTGCAAGTCTACCACTGTTTTTTTGGCGCCCGCCTAAGCGCCGCCTAGGCGCTAGGCGCTGTCCGGGCGCCCGACTAGCGCCTAGCGCCTACTGCAACCATGGTTAGTACTAAGTGACTACAATTGATTTACACTGATATATGGGGAATCAATGATAAATCTGTTGACGGGTGTTCTACTATGTTATTTTTGTTGATCATTTTTTTAAAATATATTTGGTTTTATCTGTTAAAACAAAAATTAAACGTGTTTATAGTTTTCCTCAGTTTAAACGATTGGTTGAAAAATACATTGGTCACTCAATCGTTTTTGTCTACTCAAATAATGACAGTGAGTTCATTAAACTCATTCTGTTGCTCAATGCTCATGGTATTTCACATTTTAGTACCCCTCCTCACACCCCGAATCACAATGGTATTGTCGAACGACAACATAGACATATCGTCAAAATCAGGATGTCCTTACTTTATTTTGCTAATGGTGTTCTTAATTGTTTATTTCCTGGTGTATGTTGATGATATTTTGTTGACAGAAACTAATGAACTTAGACGGTTCATAAGGATTTTAGCTTTGCAATTCTCACTTAAATACCTTAGTAACTTGCATCACTTTTTGGGTGTTAAGGTAACTCAAACACCAGATGGGATCTTCTTGTCGTAGAGTCAGTATGTTACTAACATTTTGACGCAATTTAAAATGGATGGTGCCAAAGAAGTCTCCATGCCGCTGGCTATTTCGAACAAATTGGTGTCGACCTTGTCTGATAGTGACCGGTATGATGTCACTCAATTTCGTCACCTTCCAGGTTTTCTACAGTATTTGCTCATCACAGGCTCTGATGTCGCCTTTGCAGTCAACCACCTTTCACAGTTCATGCATGCACCAACGCTGTCACATTGGCAGGCTGCCAAATGGCTTCTTCGTTATCTCAAAGCTACGGTCTGTCATGGTTTATTTCTTCGAGCTGGCTAGCTGCTTTCCCTGTGTGTCTACGCAGGTTTTGATTGGGGAGGCTGCACCTCCGACGGTCGATCTACTGCTACTTACTTATTGTATCTGGGCTCACATCTTATTTCATGGAAATCTACCAGACAGAGGTCTGTCTCTCATTCATCTAGGAAGCTGAGTATCGAGCCTGGGCGAATGCTATAGCATAGGTTCTTTGGGTTAAACATTTGTTTTACAAGAATTATGTTTGAGTTTGCCATAACCACCGGTGTTGTTCTGCGACAATCCCAGTGCTACGTATGTTTGTAAGAATACAGTGTTCCATTCCCATACGACACACCTAGCCTTGGATTACTTCTTCGTCCGGGAGTTTGTGTCCAATGGCTCTTTGGTTGTGCGTTACATTCCCTCTTCGGCGCAACTTGCTAACTTACTTACCAAGCCACTTGGTCACCACCTGTTCTTGCTCTTTCGGTCCAAGATTGGAGTATCGAACGGATCCTCAATCTTGCGGGAGCGTGTTAATACTACATGCATTGGTTGACAATTTCTAATTTATCATTTCTACTTGTATTCCTATAGATTAGGATTGTTGTAACTTGCTGCTAATTCTCATCCTTTGTACTCTATTTATACCATGCTTATTTCATTCATCATACGTTTTATATAATCTCTATACATTCTAGTGCCCTTTTGCCGGATTCTATTCTTTTTTATTTACAGTTTTACTTGATGATATTCAATGTGTGCTTGAAATTTTAATCTTCAAAATAGTAGAGCTTAAATTTTAAATATCTTAGTTCATTTTCCTCTCTCTCTCTCTCTCTCTATATATATATATATATATATATATATATATATATATATATATATATATATATATATAAGTGTTGAAAAAGTCGCTAGGCGCCCAATTTTTTTAATTTTTATTTTTTTATAGTTGAGTTGACTGTTGAGTGTTGAGTCCATGTATGTTAATCTGCTATACAGTTGTTCACAATTCCCAACATCAATCAGAACCGTCCATCACCCTGCATGTCGTTCCCGCTTCCTAACATTACTAATCTCTCTAATCTCTAATCTCTCTAACCAGATCCATCCATCAACTTTTCGTCCATCACCGTACCCTTGCGTTCTTCCCACCCTCACTGTCAACTGCCTTCAGCCACCTCCACCGTCAACAGCTCCAGCTGCCTCCATCGTCGGTCGACTGCTCCAGCCCCTCCATCGCCGGTCGACTACTTCATCGCCGGTAGCCAGTCGAACTGCCTCCTCCACCTCCAATTACTCCGGTCAGACGACTCCAAGATCCAGCCGCCTCCAACCGCCAGTCACTCCGGTCGCCACTGCCTCCTCTAGTAACCCTCCATCACAGTTTGAGACGGTTCGGTCGGCTAGGCGCCGCCCGCGGAGGAGGCCGATTCCGCCCTTCCTCAATGCGACCGGGCGTCGCCTAGCGCCTAGGCGCGATTTTTGCAACACTTGTATATATATATATATATATATATATATATATATATATATATATATATATATATATACCCCTTTTTCTTCTTCACATTTACAGAGCTTCGAACTACCTCGTGCTCTCTTCCCTCCTAAAACACAAGCCTCTTTCTTCCTTGGCGGCCGACGTCCTAGCTTATCGAGACAATTTTGATCACCTCCGGTCGTCGTTTCTCTCAGGTCAGTTTCTCCACCAATATTCCTTATTCTTTCTCTTTTCCTTTCCCCTTTCCAACGCTACCTTATGTCCTCCTCATCTTCATCTTTGTCTTCTTCTTCCTCCGCCACGAATGACCATCAAGGTCGGACAGCGAACCCTCCTGCCACTAATTCCGCGGCGGCGGCGGTGGGAGACTTGCCGGCTGCAGCCGCCACCGATCCCCTGATCGACCGGGAATCGGGGTCACTCAACACTCTGGATTGGCCGGTGAGCCGCTGTTCGTCTCTCCGCGAGGTCGACTTCCTACACGCCCGGCGGCTACTTGGTACGCCAACCGTGGCTCGTCGGCCGGGTGACCGACGGGTTACAGATCTCCCCAGCGAAGGGTAGGTGGGAATCCATTACCAGTCTGTCCGATGTGGTTTCCGGATGCCCCTTTCTCCCTTCCTTTCTCTTCTTCTTTAGTATTACGGTGTACTGCGCAGTTAGCTGGTGCCCAACTTTTACTGCTAGCTGACCGCCTTCCTTACGTATTGCCACCGCCTGGGTGTAGAGGCCACTCTTCCCCTGTTTCATCAACTTTTCCGCCTGACCGCGGATGGCGCAATTGCTCCGAGATACGTGCAAATACACTCCTGGGACGGTCGTAAGTTCTTGGACAAGCTGGCCTCCACCCACAAAGGCTGGAAGGAAGAGTTCTTATTTGTCCGCCCGGCCGACCACCTCCCGGCCTCCGTTTTCCTCTGGTCTGGCAAACGATGTACTACCGTCTTGACGGAAGGCCGGCTTGCCCTGAGCACTTAGTTAATATGGTTCAGCGGATGACTGGGGGCGAGCTTATCTCTGCTCGGCGATGGTCGCGGCTGGCGGCTATTTCAAGGGTTGGCTTGCTGCCGGATGGCGCTCCCCGGACAGGTTTGTTCTCCTCCTGGTAATGACTCGTATACATTTGTGCTCTTAAGCTGACTGTTCGTGCTTTCTTTCGTAGGTAACAACAACACATCCGACTCGTTAGGGTAATCTGAGGGAGAAGAGGAGGAAGCTCTGGCTGCTGCACCCGCCCTTCTCGAGGTGCCGCAAGAAGTCATCCGAGAGGAAGACATGGCCGATCGACGCTCCATCTTACGCGTTTCCGCACGTGCTCGACTGACTGCCGCCGAGAAGGGCAAAGGCGTGGCCAACTCGGCAGACCCTAACCCACCGCAAGTTGCACGCAACCAGGCGATCTTGTTGTGGAGACGCTTCGACGGGATGATGGCAACCTCTTCCAGAACCTTTTTGTTGGTCTGGGCCTATCCGCCGTCCTGATGCGTATGCGGTCCGTGCTGGCCCCGGCTGATGGGAGATCCCCCCCGGGCAGGGCTTCTGCTCGGAGACGAGCGGAGTAGTTTGTTTCCATTCTCTTTTGCCACTGTTACTACAATTGATCTTGATGTAATCCGATTGCCTTTTAGGCCCTGTTTGAACATGACATCCTGCCCGTTGGACTTTTACTCCTTACTCCATTCCGGTTTTTTTAACCTCGCGAATGATTGCCCTCGAGTCCCTCAATGGGCGAGACCGACTGCCTACGAGTCCCCGAGAAGCAAGCAAACTCCAAAATGGCCAAGTCCCTCAATGGGCGAGGCTGACTGCCTACGAGCCCCCGAGAGGCAAACAAACTCCAAAAGGGCCAAATCCCCTAGTGGGCGAGGTTGACTGCCTATGAGC